TAAGTTTTAAATATTTTAAAAAAAATTTAAATAATAAATTTTAAAAAATTTTAAATTTAAATTTTTTATAAATTTTATTTATTTTTTATTATTTTTAAGAACAACTTTTAAAAATTTTTTTAATAAAAATTTAAACTTATAACTCAATATAAAAAAAATAAAAACTCAAAAAACCTCCATCATACATTCAGGCCCTAAATTTTATTGCAATCGTATTTCCAATTGCTGTCGTCGTAAAAGGTCTTGTTCTTGTGTAGACCAGAATAGCTTATTAAACAAGGAAAATCTTTCAAACTGACAGGAACAGCACTTCGGATTTCTTAATTAAATCCTCCGAAATCACGAGGCTTTTCGATAGAGAATTATCTGGGTGACGATTGATGAGGGATGGGACTCCATAAGAAAACCTCATCTGCTTCTTCAACATCACCTTGTGCAGATCTTCGATCTGCTTACCATAATTGCTTTAACAGGTAAAAAGTCTTCGAATTTCTCTTAAACCCGAGTCCCCTCTTCTCCTCTTAATCTGGGTATTTTGTTTTTCCTTGATGTTCAGGTGGTATTCGGAGAAATTCGTAAAGGGTCGATGGGACAAAGAGGAATGCGTTTCCGAGTGGGAAAAATACAGAGCTTGTCTCTCCGTATGTTTGTTTCTTTTCCTTGCTCCTTTCATTTCTGTGTCGCACTCGTCCTTGCAAGAACTTGGTTTTGTGCTCTTTAATAGGTTTACAATTATTTTTGGGTTCTTTTTTAACAGGAACATTTGGATGATAAGCATCGTCCTTTCTTGGAATCTGAGGGTGTTGTTCAAGCAGACACGGGGAACCCAATTGATGATGCTTACAAATAGAAAAAAGGGTAAAGTTTCTGCTTTGATTGGCTTCAGCTTTCATGTAGTTAAAAAGGTCACATCTTGCATAATTTTTCTGTGTAAAACCTAGGCATAATTTGAGTGGGGTCATCACCTAAACTAAACTTTGACAAACAGAATATTACATCTGTGTGTCACTAGAAGCATAGGATTCCTGTTTTATCAGGTTGAATAATAGTAATGGAGAAATCCTGTTCTTTGTTGCAGATATTGACCATACAATTACACACAGCTGGGAATCTCTCTTTTTAATCCCAGATGCCATTTCATTGTAGAACTTGTTCTTTAGAGGATTTTGGTCTGTAGCAGTAGGTGCTGTTATTTATACAAAATCGAAGATAGAGGGAGCACTGAAAGGATCTGATGGAGAACTTCTTATCAGCTTTCATTGTCAAGTATAAATTCTTTTGAGATTCCTTGTTAACTGCTACAATGTATTAGATTTTTTGGCATTTCAGAGATGGCAATTGAAATTATGCTTTTATCATTAACACATGCCTGATCATTTTGGTGTTTACTCTCTTATATGGCTAAACTAAAACCTTATTTTGAAATCCAATCAAGGCATCTCTTAAAACTACCATCGCGTGAAATTAAATGAGAGGTGGAAAATAAATAATGTTGCGACCGTGTGAGAACTAGTGTTAACTGTTTCATTTCTATCTGAAGAGGAAATGTGCAACCATTCACTGTCGTCTCCATGGGTATCAAGAGTTCTGCATTAGCAATAAAAAATGCAGCACGAGTTATATGTTTGAGCTGGATTGCTTTGTTGAGAGAAAAGAAGTTGAAGGACTTCAATTTGATTGGGGTTATGATAATCTTAACTCTGACATCATAGGAGCAGAGTATGTGCCTCTAGGAAATCTTACTCGGCTGGCAACCAGTCCGATTGAAGCCGTTGCAATATACTGTCTGGAGTATTAGTCAAGCATGTCAGATGAGGCTGCAATGTTTCATAACGTTTCAAGCTTAAGTCCCCATCTGCTGGAAGGGTACTAGCTTTTTGTAGGGAAGACTTCAACTGTCGGTGAATTCCTTGTTTTGTTTGTTTTGTGTTTGTGCACGCGTGTTTTTTTTTTTTCTTTCTTTCTTCCTTTTTTGGCCCAATGTGAATTCCTTCGTTCAGAGGTGGTGTCAGTTTTATCAGTTTCCAGATGTAAAGGATACCAGCTGTAGTCTCGATACTTGATAGACTAATGGGGCTTTCCATACCATTAGATGAGTGGTTAAAGCTGGATGCTGGAATTACTGCTAAGATGATTAATGAGCACATGGGTTAGATCCTTGCAGCCCATAATTCTTAGTGCATAGGTGTGTTTAGTGGAACGTTGACAAAACACATTAAATGGATTAAAGCATCTGGAACTGCATGGCTTGTTGGAGAATTACATCACAGTGGCTTTCATGATATTGTCAAGGGATCCCCGTAGGAGCTATGAACCCATTGGAACTTCAATGCTCACTCTAATTCAATTAGAGAGGGCTTCTGTTCCGTTTAAGCAAGAACGAGAC